ATAGAGCCTGGCTCACTCGAATCAGTGGTCAAGTACTCTGTCTTCTTCACGTTCAGCCTGAGGCCAAACATAGCCAGACGGTCGGACCAGGTTTGCACCTGTTTCTCGAGCAGATGTTTGTCTTCGCAGGCGAGCATCACATCGTCAGCATACAGAAGCGTCCATGGAGCGGGCTTCTGAAGATCACGCGAAATGGCATCCATAACGACAATGAATAGGAGTGGGGAAAGCGCAGAGCCTTGGTGCACACCGACCGAGATGGGAAATTCCATCGAAGTACCTGCCACCGTTTGCACCCGACTCCTTGAGTTCGAGTAAAGTATGCGCACCCACTCAATGAGCTCTTCGGGAACGTCGTGCTGTCGTAAGCATACCATATAACTTCTCGAGGAACGCGATCAAAAGCCTTCTCCAGGTCCAGGAAGGCAAGATGCACAGCTTTTCTTTTCTCGCGATGTCTTTCCAGCAGAAGGCGGGCGGCGTGTATTGCATCGATGGTGCCGCAGCCTGACACAAATCCACACTGGTTGATGGAAAGCTGCACGATGTCACGAATACGGCCGTCCACAATTCGCTCAAAGATCTTCATGCTGTGCGAGAGCAGGCGGATTGGACGGTAGCTCGTACAGTCAGCAGGGCTGCCTTTCTTCTTCCAAATCGGAATCGTTGTGCTCTGTTGCCAGCTCTCAGGCACCTTTCTCTCTGCTACGATCTGGTTGAAAAACGTGGTCAACCATTCAGCAGGACACCAGCATTTCGACTTCCATATGTCGGCCGCCAGATCATCGGGTCCTGTAGCTTTTCCCGACTTCATCTTCTTCAGAGCCATTTCCGTTTCCTCCACGGTTATTCTCTGCACAGGACCTTGCACAGGTGGAACATAAGGGACTGCTGGATGAGCAAATTCATAAACGTCACGAATACGTGAAACGATGAGGAGGTTGCATAGCACTAAGGCCTTTTCCGTTATATTATTTTAACGTGTCCACCACTTTTGAAAACGCACTATTATTGTAGATTATTAGATTATAGGAGATACTATGAAGTTCAATCCTCAGGCCTGTGGTATAGTCCCAACGTTCGAAAGTCTTGTCAAAGTCAACCTCGTCCAGGTCAAGTTCCGAACTTTGGTGGAATACTAGGGGAGTTTAGGTCTGTGAACTCTTAACAACCACTTCCAACGCGTCACATATCTTTCAAAACAGTTTGATAACAGCGGTTTCAAGATATAAGGGAAAAGACAAACACCGGCTCAATCAATAAAACACAACCCTATTTTATAAGCCGCTACTAGTGTTCGGTAGATATTCATTATTCTGTGTGTCCATCTCGAAAATGAATGATTGCCAAAGCAATGGAAATGGCTAATGGAAACAGAATCGAGTTGGTCGCAAGACTTGAGCTATAAATGTTTGTAATAGGATAACTGTGATAACACCCCTACGGCATATATAAACACCTACTGAGCACACTTCCGGTCATTCCACATGGTGCTGCAGTGGCAGCTGGAGGGTGGAGGAGAAACGAAGGAAGGATGGGGAGGGGAAGGCGAAAAATCTACCGTTCGTGACGCTGTATGGGGATTCTTTCTGCTATGTGAACTCATTTTCGCGCATGGGCGTCACCTCCATGAGGTGATGCTATCACAGGTGGAAGGAACCACAGCGGTAGACGTAGTGCTTACGCAGGAAAGGAAAGTGCCGGCGGTTGGCGGGGGACCAATCTGGTAGAATTTGTGAACCTGGATATTCTTCTGAGCGGGCATCGTTTTTCACGTCCCTTCCTCATCGTCCCGCCGTTTTGGCAACAGACAACCACTTGTTCGCTCTCTAGCACACCTCGAGCAGAAACCTTAGTTTAACCAACACGATTTCGAAAACGACACCCAATCTTTATTCCACCCTAAATCTACGGCTTTTCATATGAGGGAGTGAACTGCTGCCCACGCAAAGGCAATGTGTTGCAGGTAAAGGTGATGCAGATGTTGAATAAATATGCCAGAAAATTGACAGAAAAAAATAAAATCGAAAAACAGCCGGGGTAGCCCGGAATTTGTGGACCGACCTAATATTATAGAAAGAGAACAGATTATTTTTACGATCAATCGCATTCAACTTACTTTATTCCAGGGGGGGGGGGGGGGGGGGGGGGGGGGGGGGGGGGGGGGGGGGGGGGGGGGGGGGGGGGGGGGGGGGGGAGAGAAGACCCCAGGATATGTAAGGGTTTGTATTCCCTTCTGGTTGTACCACACAGCATACATCTGAACTGGATCTGTGTTGTGCTGCAAAATGTTCACATTTACCGAGAAATCATCCCGTTAACAGAGAGACATGACTAAACTCACGAAGTTTTGCTTTAGGAACTTTTCATAAGTGTCCGGATGTCTTGCATTCCAGCTGTCATGTAGCCTACTTGCTCAAATGCCCCGAACTTAATTACTTCGCTACGTAAACAGTTCACGGTATTTGGCTTTGGAGTAGTGAGACGCTGCACGGGAGACAGCGCCACGACGACCAGGATAAGGTTTAAAAAAGTGAAGGAAAGTTGTCATTTAGTGGCTGTGGGAATCTAGACGATGGTGATCCATCACCCCCTCTGGGTTTTTATGGGCACCTGGTCGCACTGTCAGCACTGTGTGTGCACTTCACGACTGGCTCAGCTTTTGCGTAGTCAAAGGTGAATATTAATTTTGTTTTGATAATGAGTACAGTGTGCGCGTCATGAATTTAAGGCGAACATTCTCTGGGGTGGGTGGGTGGCTGTTTTCAAACATGTGATTCCAATCCTAAAGTGCAAATTTTGTTTATATCATATTCGCGCCCTGCCAACTTTTACAGTACGTGATATTATAGAATTTGGACAATGGTCTACTAAAATGCTTCCTTTCCTACGCT